TCAAGGCTTGAGCTTCCTTTGCTTTCTAGATGAGGACATGGATTTTCTTAAAGGTGGTTCAAAAGATCAGTGCATCCCAATTTCATAAAATGAAAAATTCTTAAAAAAAAATACTTCAAAAAAAGTTTGTCCTGTTTTTGGGTATGTGGTCCCTTGTTTTCCAGGCTTCTGTTCTTGCTTGTTTTGTTCCTGGTTCTACTCACATGCAAATAATCTAGATTAGTCAATTAGAACATCTTCAAAACTGGACCCATTAAGATTAGAAAAAGGGTTTTGCTATATATAGCCCTGATAGACACTATAAGGCGGCTTACACATGTTTTAATCCTTTAAAACCTCACTCCTACTCTTTAATATACTAAATAAAATTGCTTGTGAATGCTTGCTAAGTCTTCAGCAACATTTTTAGTGGATTCATCTCAGCAGTGACTGGACCTAGTCTCTTTCTGAGTTTTCCAGGGTCTGTGGGAGGTGTTATTAACTAAATACAAATGCGGTTTTTCTAATCTTTTGAAATTCCTTGGCACAGTCTTTCAAGTGATTGAGATACAAGCTCATTAAACATTAGAGCCCATGAAAGTCACCAATGACATGTGGAATTCATTGTGGTCTGTCCCAGGCAATGCTAATATCAAATTACAAACAATGCAGCAAAATAGTATCTCCTCAAAAATGATTTATGATGTTTGTATGGTGGTCCATGCATTTTAAAAGCAAAATGGAAGATCAATACTGGGTCAGTATGATGGTGGCCATTCTAAGTACCAGACTCCATTTCTCTCTTTGGAGGCACCATGAAAAGGAAAATTGAATATTCTGAGAGTTGAGAAAGAATATAAATCAGTAGTTATATAAAACTGTCAGCAAAAGAGTCCTGCTTAGACAGATCCAATGGGTCCTGCTAAAGAGGGCTTTCTATAGACAGATGGGAAGAGGGAAGCAAGGGGCATACTTTTTAAATTAAAGTCAACTTTTTCAGCTCTACGTGGGTTCAATATAAGTAAGAATCTCTGCTTCTCAGCGCTGCGCTGCCATCTGTTCCCTGTACGCACATCCCGGCTTCCTCGAGTCGCTGTTCCTTCTGTGCTGTTTGCTGAATTTCCCATCCCTTGTGTAGCCTTCTGCTCTCCTGCCCGGTTTGCTAGAATATGTGTTCCAGACCAGATGCATTTTCATTGCAGCCTCATTTTCCCCTTCCCCTGCTTGCAGACAATTCACCACTTTCCTGTGTATCTGTGTTTTGTTGCCCAGCAGATGGGCAGTCCGGGAGAGTTTCAGTGATCAGATATTTTCTGGAGTTTTGATTTTTCTCTTCAAGTAAATATTAACATTGAAACAATACAGATTTCTAGGTAAAATCACTTTAGCAGCTTGGAATCAGAGTAATATTCCAGGATTTTCTAATCTTCCCTCCTTTTTCTTTCTTGTTGTGGAATACATGCAGACATGAAATAGAGCAGATTTAGTCTAGTTTTGCACCATCTGCTTATCCAGTATAATTTTAAAGTTTAAACTTGAGCCCAGATGTATTCATTCTCTGTTCTTAACAACTGATTATGTGTAAACCTGAGTAGGCTTTGGGTTTTTTGCTTTGGTGATGGTGGGGTTCTGTTGGATAAATGCCATGAGTTGAAGCAGGAGGTGCTTGTGCTTCCTCGATCTCACTGTTGTGACGGTAGATATTATTCCCTACCTGCCTCTAACCTTCTTGGAAACTTTGAGAAAATTCTAGTCAAGAAAAGATTCCCTTATTCAAATGTTCTTATTTTATTGCATTTCCTGGTAGTTTTGCTGCCTGTTATCCTTTATTTGATGTATATCATCAGCAGATTTCCTAAAATTCAGACCTTAAAAGTTGATTCTGAGTGAAGTTTCATTCACAGATGTTGTATATCCATCCAGTTTTAGAGCCTGACAAAATTCTTACTGAAAGGATTGAGAGATTGGGTTGCGTGGTTTTCTTTTGGTTTTGAATTTCTTTTTGGGTAGGTGTCTGTGTTTCTTGTACTACCATAGTTCTTATTAAAACAGTAGTTCAGAATCTCAGTGTTTTGGTGGCTGTGGAAATTGGAAGTGTATTTGAAGATGGAGTTCCAATGACCAGCCTACTTCATTTGAATTAAAATCACCTTCACTTTTTCATTTAAACAGCTTATGCCCTTTCTGTTTTGTTACCCTGATAACACTACACCAGGCATCAAACACATTCCTTCCCTGCCAAACTCTTCATTTCCTGTTGACCAAGAAAGCAGTGTCCTTTTCATCTCATTCACTGTGCCTGTTCCAGCTCCAAATTTCTGGAATGTTGACATGACAAAACTTTTTTAAAAGTTACATATTTATATGTGCATTGTGTAACTGTCACAGCCAACTGGAAGTTTGTTGTGCTGTTCACTGTGATTTAAGGGAATTTAAGGGAACAAATATCAAATTTGTCATATATATGTGCCCATTATGCATAACATAGGAAGGAAAGAAATTGTAAAGAAAATAGTTCTCTAGCATTTGTGAGAATCTAGGGATGATAATCTGAAGGAAAGTAAGAGATTGAAGATGCGAAAGACACTTGATATCCAACTCTTCTTAATCACAGAGATGGAAATATAATCTGTCCTAGACAAATTACAACCTCTTCTAGATAAATTAGCAGAACTCACACTTTGCTTCATAAAGCTGATATTGGACCAACCCTACTTTGTCAACAGGGCACAGGTTCTGATCCTTTTCTGCTATTCTGGTGCTATCAAGAGTCCTGCTGCTGTCTTATTTTCTGTCTCCAGCATTAGTTTCAGTACCATTATACCTAATACTGAGGTTTCTTTCTTTAAAACCCAAAAATCCTGTGTACTTTTCAGCTCCAAACTCAATGATGGTGAGAATTCTATGCATCCTGTTCCTCCCAAAACCTTCTGTTAAGAGGAGTATAACTCAAATTTTAGCTAGCTCTACATCAAAGGAGCTCACCAGATTCTGACTGCACAGTGCTTAAGCTTCTCCTAAATATGAAATTTCTTGGCACTTCTTTTCGAACATAAAGCCTTCTCAGTCCCAGCCCATTAGTTTCCTTTTTTTGCTTTATTCATATGGCAGAAGCCTCTGTGGTGAAATTATGTCCTCTTTACTCCTACAGATGTCCCTGTCACTCATTCAGCACTTACTTCCCAGGAGTCCTGATGAGAAAAATTAGTTTGGGAAACTGCAAGACCAGCAACCTGAGGATGAAATATAGGATAAAGTTAAGCAATACTGGGAAATAGCCTCCCTTGCCTCTCTTACATCTATGTGCTGTATAGGAGGAAGTCTGATTCTTCAATAAAATGACACATGATACAGAAATTTGTATTTTTTCCAGCAGGTATTTCAAAGAGCTGCAGATATTTTTAGTATTGAACAGGCTGTAGCACAAGAAAGTGCTGGGATTATCTGATCTTTTCCATGCTTACTTTCCTTTCACACAGGGGCATGCAAAAATCTTTTAGCTTTATTGTTTCTTGGGTATAAATGATGAAAATGAGGTGACTTATCCAAGGCCCTGCAGGGCAGCAGTAGCACAGCAGGAATGTGGGCTGTTCTCTCACTGCATCTGAGCCCTTCCCCTAAGGAATGTTGCTTTCTAAAAAATGTCGTTTTCTCACATTCCTCTTTGGTTACTGTCCTGTTGTCTTACATTCTTTTGTTATTAGTGATAGCATCAGTAGTGATGGAAGTAATGGTTTTGATTCTCTTGTCAAACAACAGCATCGGTTTGATTTAGTACAAGTAAAGTGTTTCATCTGGACTTTATTTGAAAAAAGGCACTTGGTGCTATTTTAAAAACTAAAGGACAAAAGTTAGGGTTATTGAAAAGACTGTTGTCATATTGTCATAATCTGGATAGGGTTAATTATAGATGCTATTGGTGCTCATTGTATGATGAGTGTATGGGGAGAAAGGGCTACAGAACATAAAATGATAAAACATTCACAATTTTTAGATGGCTGTTGAAGGAACCTTTCTCAAGATTTTTTTATTTTAGAGCCCTTTGTCAGTTTTGCACTTCCTGAATAACCATGGTGCCCGCAGGGAGTGAGGGCGCAGCTCAGGAGAGCAGCTCGTTGCCCGGTCCAGCAGCTGCTTGCAGCACACACGCCCTGGCTCTCCCAGTGTTGACTTGTTATAATCTGGCATCACATGGTCTCCTGGGGAAGGTGGTGGCTGCACAACATTTCCTTTGACTAGGAAGTGAATCTCTTGATCCTGAAGTCCAAACTACTCAGCTGAAGGAAAAACTTACTTGCCCTGAGTTCGTATTTTATGCTGACTGCATGTAAGTACCTCACTTCAGGAGATGTTTGCCCTGAAGAAGTAATTACTATTTTCCTGCCTGCCTTTGTAGCTAAAATCAAATGCATTTAGCATAGTTTTATTAGTACACGGTACTGCTTAAGAACACAATCCGTTTTTCCAGGATTAACATCGTACATAATTCTGTGTGGGCAATTTGAATCTCTAATGCCGTTTACAAGTGGATTGAAATTCATGCGAGAATTCTGGATATTTTTTCCTTTCCTGAGCTCCCAGAGGAACATGGTCTTATTTCAGAAGATGTTTTGCATATTTCCCACCTTGTAGTGTTAAATTCTTTATCTCAGTTAAATCCAGTAATTTTGAAGTACAGACATTTTTCATTTCCATTTCTTAACATTTTAAATTTAAAATATGTAGTTCTTGATTATAAACATGTATTTCAGTTGTGTGTTCTGAAGTTTCCTTTCTCTTATGGGTTAAAATTTATCTGTTTCTGTCTTTTTATTACTATGAAATTGATAATTATTAGCAGAAATGTTTGTCTTAATTTGAAAAAAACTAGTTACTATGAACTATAGATTACAATCACAGAATTTTGAAGTACAATATTCTTGTGTATTGTCTTTGTCTAATCAAAATTATTTCAGATTCTCTTTCAGTTTAATTGCTGAAGTTTGGCAGGAAATTAATTGCTGTGCCTATCTTTGTTACAGAATACAGTCGTTTTGAAGCTAAAATCCATGATTTACGGGAGCAGATGATGAACAGTAGCATTAGTTCAGGATCAGGATCTTTGCGAACCAGCCAGAAGAGATCCCTCTATGTCAGGTAATCATCTTTTTCATGGCATTGCTATGGTGTTTTTCTTCTTTCCTGTAGACTTAGTATTTTCATACAATTTTCGTACAACTATGCTTACTAAGTACTAATAAAGGGATACTTATATGGAAATATAATAAAAGTAAAGCTTTATTTAGACCGATTATTGTAATATAGCTGAAAAAGAAGTAATATCCCTGAGAACCCTATATGAACTTTGAAGAGTGGTGCTATTATCTGCTTTTAGTCCTTTGATTTGAGAGATGATAATCCTTCAGCAAAAACATATATTTCTTCTTTAAGACAGTGCATGTGAAGTCTTAAGAACTTGCTTAGTTCAATTTGTTTTATGACAGTAGCCTTCATATTCTCCCTTGTTCAGTACTTGAATTCAAATTTATAGTCTTCTCTTTCTTAAGTTTTGACAGATTTCCATCTTATTTCCTTCAGCTTACTTTAGTTGTTTTCTCAGTTTTATTAAAGAATTTTATTTCTCTATCCAATTTAATTTTGTTATGGAATATTTTCCCATGGTAACTAAGAGAGAAAATGCAAAGCAAATGAACAGAGTATGCCTCATTAATTTATCCATATCAAGTTAAATGTAAAAGAGGATGAAAGAAAGTGGAAATAAGAGCATGAAGCAGATGAGAAGGTGGTGTGATGGGGAAATGATGGCAGGGTGCAGCTTATTCATGTGTCACTCAACTCCCACACTAGTTATCATGTACTGATAAAGCATAACATTTCAAGTATGGAACACAGGCAAAAGGATTGAATTTTTTAAAAATTAATTGGTTTTTGAGTTCCCCAAATTAGCTCATCTCTGGATTGAATCAGGGTGAGCAGTAGCTTCTTTGTAGGGGCCAGAATGTTTCAGTAGAGCAGGTAAGCCTTTAAGTAGTTCTGGTGTTTGGGTTAAACATAATTTAAAATGTTGTAGGGCCTCCCTGGTTTACTTCCTAAAGGTAAACAGGCTCAGATGCCATTGACTTTCCCATCCAAAGCAGATAGTGTTTTGTTCACGGTGTGTTCTGTGTACTATGGGAAGGAAGCACGTCATGCACGAAGCAGTTCCTGTATGGGTGCTGAGGAAAGTCATGGTCCTTTGTAACTATTTCTGAATGCTTGACACAAATGTAGCTAAATACTCATAGGGCTTCTATTTTCCTTGACTCTAACAGGTAGTTTCTATGTTTTGAGCTATTGTTTCAGTAGCTGGATTCTGTTTTCTTGGATCTGAGCCTACTTGTTTTTTCTACTTCTATGTGCCTTAAATATTTTGGGGGTCAAAATTTAAATCTCTGAAAATAAATGTCTTAAATACTAAGGCTAAGTGCTTGGTACCACAGTTATCCATATCTTTGAATTTTCGCAGGTAGGTAGGTTCCATATTCCACATATGGATATTGTGCCAAGATCTTTATTTCCATAATCCCAAGATTTATAGCTTTAGCTTTCATCATATAACTAAGCCTAAACAATTCTAAATGTTTTTATTTTGCTTGGTTAGCTGTAGCCTGATTAGGTTCTAAACCGCTTACGCTCATGTTCACACATCTGATATTTTGACTCACTGACAAGCATTTTATCTTTACGTAGCTTGTATTCTACTCATGGAAGTTGTTGAGCTTTTGACTTGGCCAGCTGCTGCAGAACTTGCAGCCTTCTCCAGGCTGTTGGCAGAAGCCCTGTGGGGACTGGTTTCATTGAAGGTTTCTGAGGCTCATTAATCAGTGTTCATCACTACAAAGTCTGAACAGATATATAAAATACAAAGACTCCATAGCAAAAGAACTTTTCTACCCACATCTCTTTACAGAGGGTGCTGCTACAGCTTTTGGGATCTGTTTGTGTCATCACATCAAAAGTTGCCAAGGACTGGGAGGCTACTTTGAATGCACAGAAAGGGTTCACATCTGTTCTGCCTGGTTTCTGATGAAATTCTGACCCCATTGAAATAACTTTCATGACTGTTTTCACATATTTCTAGATACTGACAGAACATGTTAATTACCCACTTTATTCATTATAATAAGTCTGGTATAGTCATATTGTACTTTTAATTATATCAATTCAGAGCCATTTTTAATAACTTCAGATATATTTTTTCAGTAGTGCTGGGTTTTGGATATGCCTTAAAGCACTCCAATTATGTAACGAAATCCTGAATTGAATGGTAAATCCAACAGTAAAATGTTTATAGGCATTCAATCGCAATTGCAGAAAAGATATTAAATAAAAATACTCTGAAAATCATCTCTGCAGCTTTCTCAAAATCATGGCAACAAATTAGGAAATAAAATCAGACACATCATTGTATCCCTGTAAACATGATATCTTTAAGACTAGTCTGCCTGTAAACAGCATTTTTTGGTATTACGTAATATTAAGGAAAACACAATTGTGTTTGCCCGAAAATACAATTTGGAGTAAAATGGCAGGTTTTTCTTTGTAATTGTATGTGTATCAAAAAGTCATGCACACCAATTTAGGAAGCAGCCCTTGGAGGGAAATACAAATACAGCAATTCAGCAGCAGCTGACTCTCCATTTGCACATCCTACTGTCCCCCCACACCACTCCCCCTGTCCCCAGCTAATTCAGATGTACTGATGTCTCTTCTCTTATTTTGCTTTATATTTCTTCTGGTCTTTGTTCTGAGACAGATTCTCTCATAATAATGTTTCTGGAGCTGCATATAATCTGTATCTATCTATCTATCTATCTATATATATATATATATATGCTCATCTAGAGAGTCAAAAAGCACATGTGAGATACCTTCATGGTATCAGCTTTGTGTGATAATTCATGGAGAGAGAGTAAATCTGTTCCATATTTAATCTCGTCTTCTGTGGCAAGTCGCAGTCTGCAATGTGTGTAGCTCTCAAAATCAAAAATTGCTTTTACCTTTGTGCATTTTTCTGACCAGAACAATACATTCAAATAATGGTGCTGATTTGTGCTTGAATCAGTGCAAAAAATGGTTATGTCTCCAAGTTGAAGAAATGTAACAGTTTTAAAATGGCTAAGAAATTTTAACTAACTCCTTTGGAAAAATAAGATCTACTATTAGCAGCAGGCTAAGTGTACTTGCCTGCACTTTAATTGTGCCATCTCTATGTTGTTCTCAGTGTTCAAGCATTAAGTTTCAAACAGCTGTCCCAAAAACTCAGAAAAAGAGAACCTCCTTTACAAGATGACCTTTATTTGTGAAGTGGTAAAATTAATTCATATTTAATGAAATGAAATTTAATTAAATTAAATTTAATTTAATGAAATGAAACACAGAGATGCTTTTGCTGCAGGAATTCCTGGTTGCTTTATTGGTTGAAGAAATGCTTCAGTAAAACTTGGTCAATGGGCTATGATACTGAGCACGAGTGTGGCAGGTGAAAAGATATTCTGTAAAGTTTAGCACTGTTACACAGCCATTACATTTTTGGCTTTGAAGCATAAACACTCATTAAATATGCAACCTAGTTTCAGTTTCTCTAGACTTGTGGATGAAGGAGCTGAGTTACCTTTTTAGTGCTCTTTAATTCTTGAATAATACAAATTGAAATAAAAGGGGAGGACTTGGTCCTTTCTCTAGAAAATAATGTTTAGGACTTCCCATTTAAATTTAAATAAAACTTCACAGTCAATATCATGGGTCTGCATTCAAAGCAGTAGTTGATCATGATAACTAAATTTATTTTCAAGTTGTGTTTATAACTTACAATAAGTAAATGTATACATGGCCTTTTTAATCTGTAATAAAAGTCTTCAAGCAGGAAGTTAATAGAAGCAGTATTTTTTATATTCCAGCTTAGATAAATGCATCATCTGAGGTGTGAGGTGAGTTCTTGGTTGATGATGTGCCAGGCATACAGTAAAAACCATGTTAATCACTTTGAATAAAAAGAAATTTTTGTTAATTCTGTTTGCTTTTGAGGTCATTTATAGGATCATTAGCAGTTCCTGGTATTCCTATAAATGTTAGCTGCATAGTTTTGACACTTCTGTGATGCTCTAAATGATCGTTTTATAAAACTATCTTCATCAGCTTTTTTGCCCAATAAAATTATTTTGCTTTAATTAGCTTCACCAGAAGAAATGTCTTTGATGAAACTGCCTTTCATTGTGCAAAACCTGCTCTGTGTAACCATTTATCTAGTTGGAAAAACACATGTTGGTAATAATGACTTCATCCATTTCTCCTTCCATTTGATTCCTGAGCATTTTTTTCTCATGCAGTCAACATATATGTTAATGCTGTTAGGCCAAGCTCATTTTATAAATTTATATGCAAACTCAAAAATAGAAGTTAAAAGTGGAGCTGGTAGAAATCATTGCGTGAATGCTAAGAAGAAATCTCAGGAAATAAATTTCACGATACATGTAATTAATTCAGTGAAAATGTATACAACTTGAATCTGCTTTGAAAGTACATACTGGATTATGTGCGGATTATTTTGAGGTATGAAATGATATTTGTCCTGAGAGTTTCTTGAACAAACATGCAGAATAAATGTGGAGGAATAACTACTTCCTATCTGTATCATTTCCTTACCTGCAATATTTTGGCTATTTAAAAGAAAAAAATGGTTCTGATTTTTTAAAAAAATAATTAATGTATCTTAAGCATGCTGTGAAATTAACCCAAAAGATCTTATTATGAAGGTTGCACTGCTAGGGAAGGTGGTATTTCAACCTCCAAGCTATTTCAAAATTGAAAGTCTATATTTGGTTATAAACTTATACTTAAATCTGCAATACCTTTAATTTAAAGCTCTTTGTATCAGGAGAGCAAATAGTTTGAAGCCATTTTAAAATTTCTGCCTTTTTTTTGACATTCTAAAAATCTTTATTGAAACTGTTAATCCTTTAGGAATTTTTTTAATGTCTTATAGCCCAAGGAAGGCATGGTGTCTCAAACAACTGGTATTGCAGTAGATGCTGAAGGTGAATTTGTCTGACAGAATATTATGAATTTTTTCCCTGTAAACAATTTGTTATTGGTTATGAACAAATATAATTTACTCAGTGCTTCAGGAAGGCAAAATTCACTGAAAAACTGAAGTACATTGTGGAGCAAACAGGTTTTGACTTACATGGGTTAAAAATTTCTGTGGTATTAAAAATCTAGCAGAAAAAGGTATGCAAGACCAATGTTTGGGATGAAGAAACAAGATGAATTTGGACAAGGAAAAGAACACCCTTTAAAATCATCATATTGCAATCTATTGGTACTACTTCGGTTTGGTATTGAGTAAGTTTAATTCAGGTATTGTTCAGAAAGTGCAGCACTGACAACAGTGTGCTGGCAGATTAAATAATGTTGAGGATTTTTTCTGACTGTGTTATACAAGCACTTATTTCACATAGGTGAGGTTCAAGAACTATTTTCAAATATAAAAGAGTCCTTCAGAAGGCAGAACCTCAGCAGTATCTTTGCCTTTTTCTGAGAGACTCCTGTCATCTTTCATTTCCACGTCCTCATTAAACCCTCAGCTGTGCCAGGCAGAAACATTCTGCAGATATCTTCATTTCCTCAGGGAAATTGTCCAGGTATAAAATGATCCAAAAAGCAGAAAATATATGACTTGTAAACCAAATCAGTTCCATAGTGTGGTGGACCATATGCCTTTCCAGACAACAGTGCTTTCTTAAGCAAGAAGGGGAACAGGAGTCAGTTGCATAAACCAATCTTGCCAGAGGGACTGTTAATAAAATTGTAGTCATGCAGCTGCTGTTCAGGTTTTGTGAGTGCCTATTATTTGAAAACAGGCTTACCTTAGGAAAAAGGACAAGGTTCTCTTGAAATGGTCAGGAATTTCCTAAAAGAATGTGCATAAGGTTCTCTGCTTTTAGGTACTACAGTAGCAAAGTGGTGACCAGATCATATTTCTAAGTTGTTTTTTTTTTTTTCCTGTGAGCAGGATAGTGACTTTTATTTTAAAGACAGTACTAAACTGTACTAAATTACTAAATAATTTCAATTTATAACTTGATATGAAACAGTGTACTTTACAGAACTTTTGACAGTGCTGTATGCTTTAAATACTTGCTTGTCTTTTTATCCTAGGCTGATCTGTAACTTGCTCTGTGCAAAGTACTTACTGAATTGCAGGAGGTGTCTTCTGTAGAGCTTTTGTAAAGCACTAGAGGTTTGCTCTGGATGAAGTCTTTTCTCATTCATTAAAGCTTAGAAGTGTGTGGGGGCACTGTACTACATATTCTGTGTGTGTATGAGAGTGTATTCAGCCTTCTTGTAAGTACCTGTCAGAATGATGCAATCATTTATGAATAGCACAGGCAGCTTGCTTCATATTCTGTACTATTCATACTCTCCTGTTTTTTTCTTGCTTTTTTCTATGTTTAATTTTTTCTTTTCAATGTAGAGCTCTTTTTGATTATGACAAGACTAAAGATAGTGGCCTTCCGAGTCAAGGATTGAACTTCAAATTTGGCGATATTCTCCATGTCATTAATGCTTCTGATGATGAATGGTGGCAAGCACGGCAGGTAACTCCAGATGGAGAAAGTGATGAAATTGGAGTTATCCCAAGCAAACGAAGGTATGCCATACTTTATTGACTTTGAGATGTCTGCTATTAAATATCTGATCTGATTAATTCATATTTTATATATATTATATATATATAACTCTTTGTTGTTAATTCTGTACCACATCAGTCACTTGTTTGATGCTTTTTTTTTTTTTACGTAATCTGTAGTGATATTCTCATTTACTCAATGAGAAGTTTATTAAAACCCTATTTAGCCTTAGGAGATATGTGATCAGAGAGGTTAATAAAGATGGTCCACATCCACCTTCTCTGCTCTCACTGTGAGTTGTGGGTTTAATAACATTACATGTGGGTTTAATATCAGTTTAGTAACCGTTGATGTATGAAAAGGTGCAAAGTATGAATTAATTTTATTCAAGTCATGACATTATCAGGAATTCTTTCTACCCAGAACCTGGAAAACTGGAAAATCATTCTTTGGTAGCCACAGCCAATGGAGATCAAGTTTTTGTTGTCATACTGGAGACTCAAATAAGAGTTCAGGTGCTCGGAATCTTAATATTTGCTATTGACTGATGATTCAGGCTGTTCACTTACTGTGTCGTGTTTCCTCTTTGCACTCTCTGGATTTATTGAACATGTATAGCCACAAAATACTCCCAAAATTCTTCACAGCTCATCACTTGAGAAATAACAGTTTTCTATTAGCAGGCTTCCATTTTCTGAATGTGTCATAAGCAATAAAATGTATGGACGCCAATATACTTCTGTCGTAACAAGTGGTAACTTGAAGTTCTGGGGTTTTGCTGATTCTGACATTTTTGTGTGGTTTTTTTGGTAGAGTTGAGAAAAAAGAACGAGCCCGTTTGAAGACAGTGAAATTCAATTCCAAAACAAGAGGAGATAAAGGGGTGAGTTAATGAAGTGCTAATTACACCTGGCATTGTGAATGGTAACATTTTTTCAGTGGTTTTGTGTGTGGAGAATCACTTTCAGATTTGAATGAAAAGACTAGTTTGTGTCAAATAGAAATGAAATAATTCTGAACACCAAAGCAGACTTTAATTGCCAAAACACTGTAAATTGTTTAAAGAATTAGCATGGAAATATATATGCTTCCTAATACTGTCATGTAGTAGGAGCTGTATATCCTAACCTAGTATTGAACAGTACCATTTCTAACAGCTCTGCACCATATGTGATTCCTGTCTCAAATGTGTGATGGGAATGAGTGGTGAGAAAGCAATGAGGCTACTTAAGTAGTAATAGGAATGTTTGTAGCCAAAATTATAGCAATTTCATAATGGCACAGCAGCAAAATTATTTTATTTTTTTGAGAGTAAGACTTTTTTGCAATGTTTGGGCTGTTCTGAAATTCAAGAAACAATTCCACAACCTCACCATTTCGACCAGTAGTACGTGAGTCATAATTTCAAGAATTAGGCACACGCATTTTAGATATAAGAGTCTTTTAAAGTATTACTATATTGCCACTTTAAAAAAATCTGAAGTGTGCTTTAAGCTCCTGAGGAAGCTATTTCTTAAAAAGTGATTATAATTCTAATTGCCCTAATTCTGTAGCATTTGTTAGTTGTTATTGTAAATCCCACAAATGCTTTGTAGTAATTTTTTTCAGTTACAATGTTTACATAACTTTAGAAATCACATACATAAAATATTAAATCTTTGGTATTATTTCCTGATAGTGTAGGACTGCAAAGTATAAAGACTCTAAAATTCATATATACATCCCACTGCTACATGGCAAAGGTTTCAGTTATTAATGAAATGTCATGTTTTTTGCCTATAAATATTTGCTTAAAAGGAAATCAGTATCTCTGCTTTCTGATTTACAGTTTTGATGCCCTGGAGATTCACTGGATTATTTGCAGTGTTTTTCTGTTTTGGTGCATTCATAGTTTGGTATTGGAATTAAACGTTATCAACTGATATGGTAATTTGAGTTTGCTTTTTAGAAGCCATATAAAGAGAGGCTGAAATACTTCAGATTCTTTTCATTACATTAAGTAATTTTTCAAATGTTACCATGTTCTTTGAAAGATAATTGCATGGTTTTAGAGTGTGTCTATCAATAAACTACAAATAGTTAATTACTGATGCGTTTGAAGTAGCATTTTTACAAAAGCAGAGTTGGTGCACAGTCCCTGTGTACTAACAGAGCACCAAAGAAATGCATGGAATACTGAGTGGAAAAGCAACTACGCTTGCCATTGATGTAGAACTGCAGTTCTCTTTCTTTAGTAACATTTCATTTTGCAAACACACTGTTCACAGTCTTTTGCTTCAGCTGTAAATGTTTTAACATCAGAGTTTCTCCTTAAAGTATTCCTCCTGTATTTGTCACAATGATACTTTTCCCAGTAAGTGGATTGCACCATACATATCCTCATGGGACATGTGCCTTCCTGTGTCTGTGTGCTAATACTCCATAAACAGGATGAAATACCAATTTTATACAGGTTTTTGAAAATTTCTACATTAAGACCTTGAAGAATAACCCTAGTAATGGCTAACTTTAAAATCCATGTTCCTTTCATTGCAAGGAAAACTAAAAAATCTGAAGCAAAAATGGTTACATTTTATTCTTGTTTGTTCCTTTCATATACACATTTATCTCATTTTCTGTGCTGCTTCTGATTTAATATATTCCTGCTTATGATGCCTGTGAATGATTGCCAGTGGGCTTATGAAAAATTTAATGCAATTACTATGCATTTTCAACTAATAAGCAAATCCTTCTAGCTTTTTATAATCATGGTATCTTTTAAAAGTAATCTTTTGGCTAATCTTTTATGCAAAATCAGTATAATATTACTTTTATTTTCTCTTTTTTTTTTGGCAATGGAACTGACTCTGACCATTATACATGCAGTATATAAAGTTTCTTATTAGCTCAGGAAGACTTAGTTTACAGAAAGTTAAAATAATTATTATGAAATATTTTTAAAACTATAACAAAGATCTTGATTATCTTTTATGAAGTACAATAAATCAGCTACTTATTTTATTTTAACAGTACAAATTGCACTTCTCACCACCTCAGCTAAACTGAACTATTTTAGTTTTATTGCATTTGTCTCCTTTTACCAAATAGACGGACTTGCCAAAATGTAACAATTACAGATATGAGTCTCTTACTTTTTGAATTTATGTTACAGTATTTTTCAGTACACTAGCACGGTTCTTCTTTGGACATATTTCTTTGTTGTCCTTATTCTCTAGATTACATTACCCTTCCTGGTTGTCAGAAATCATTTGCAATGACTTGACTTTTGTTAGAGAAGGTCAGGAGGACCATAACATAAAAATTTGCCTGTGCCAAGTATGGTTCCTGCAGGCATATGATTGGATTAAAACTTCATCTTTTGTCTATGTGTCGGGTTGATAATTTACCAATTTTTACAGTGGAATAACAGTTTAGTCGAACACAGATGCAAGGCAATTAAAGGTTTTATGGATTTTCTTCTTAGCACAGTATTGTTATTTCCAGAGCTCAATGTCACCGATTGTGCTCCCATGGTACCATGTGCCTCTTTAACACCCTGTAATTTTAAGTAATTTATTAAAAAGTTTTGATAATGGAAATATCACTGGATGTTTAAGTATCTCCTATTGCCAAGCACATCTGTGTTAAAACAGACGACCAGAAGGGTTGTTAGTCCTGCAGGAGGAAGCAGCTTTTGTGTTGCACTGTAGGAAAGGAACATAACTATAGACATTCTCTTTAGGAAGGCCAAGTGCTAGTTTTCAAGTGTACCAAAAAATGTGGCCTATCATTTGAAAAAATTTTGTCCTGTTTGACCCCTAGTTTATTACTGTAATTCATTCCATACTTAATGCTGGTAGAAAGGATATGCCTTTTTGCCACTTTATTGCATATAATAGAGAAATATGAGCTCACTTTGGCTGAGGAAAGACAATTATTTGAAAGTTAATATGCTTCAAATTTTAGAAACAGTTTGTAATAGAGCCTTGAAAGAATGGTTTTTTTTTTTTTTTACAATACCTTTTAAAAGATGTTTCTGAGGTGCTTTTCTTACTTCCTGCTGCGCATAGGCTCTGCTTAGTTTAGAAATAAATAGTCCCCTACAGCACAGGGCCTCAGGACCCAGTTGGGTGTTTTCCTATTTTGCCATCCTTTCTATTGTAGTTTTTTCTGCAAACCAAATGACAAAAATATGGCAAATTTTATGTCTTTGCAAAACTGGTCAGATGAATCACTCATGCTTAAAGATGGAAGGCAATTTCTGCTGACTTCAAGTTAGCTGTATTAGCTCTAGTACTGGGCACAATTATGATTAAAGCACTACTGTTTTATTTATACTTTAAGGTTTTTTATTGATTTGGAACATCAAATTAAAGGTGCTGTAGTCACACAATGTCTTCAGTAGAAGACATGGCAGATATTACTAAAATCTGGGCTAATTACCAAAGAACATACCTATATAGAAATGAAAACACACAGATGCACTTCATCACTTGGACAAGGAGAGCAATAATAGTTTATACTCACATGGATGTAAATGTCTATGTATGTACCTCTAGAAATGTTTGTAGCAACTGAGATGCAGAAATTCTTCAGCAACACAAGCAATTAATGTCAAAAGTTGCTGAACATGATCCTTGATATACAGGGTTTTTCATGTGGTAATTATAAGTGCACTCTTGAAAAACGTAATTGCCACAATAAACCAATGAAATTGGTTTGTGTCTTTTGAAAGTTAATCTTGGTTTTAGTATGCAGACTTACACAGAACAGAGTAATTCCTTTCAGTGAAATTGCAATGAATTGCAATAGTAAAACACTGATACAAGTTTTGAAGCTATTTTTTTCAGTTGGTTGGTAACACCACCCAATACTTCTGATGTTGTGTTATAATATCAGCTGTTTACAAAAGCCTCAGCATTTTTTGTTTTTTTAAATACTGTAACCCCTAAATGAGATAATATCAGTGATTTAATTGACTTGGAGTCATTATGGTTTGGCCGTCTTACAGCAGCCTAGTTTTCCACTTTCTTTTAACACTCACAGCAAGCCTAAATTTGTGAAACACAGGTGAGGCTGTAAAGGATGAACCAGCTTTCTCAATACTAAGCATGTGAAACATGGAGGATATGAGTAAAGTCATGATCCCAGTCTCTATTTCTAATGAGCTGAGAAGATGAGTGTTAACTGAGATATGCACTGCATAATGTGGTTGTAGGAGTCAGCTTCCACAAAGCTGCTGGTCTGGGCCTTTGTTCACACAGACATTAGACATCCTTTGTTTTGCCCCTCCTTCTCTTCTTCAGCAGTCATTCAATGACAAGCGTAAAAAGAACCTCTTTTCCCGAAAATTTCCCTTCTACAAGAACAAGGACCAGAGTGAGCAGGAAACCAGTGATATTGACCGTAAGTATGTGGCATTCGATGGAGAGCAAAGCACAGTAGAAGGGCCAGCTAGACTGCACTAGGGTGTTACCATGGAGACAGTTTCATGAGCTGCAACAGGCTGAGGAGCTCATGGTGCAAGTGGCAAACCAGTCTACAAAACCAGTGCAAACCTTTGTTTGCTGTTAAAATAAAACTTAACACAAGGGTATCCCAGATTGGAATAAAATGGGCAATACTGTTGACTAACTGGAGGAGATAACTGCCTACCAGTGCTGTCAGTGATGCTTTCCTGTTTCTGACTTGGAGTAGAAGGCACAGTATTGATGAAAGTATAATGGAGCTTACCAGTTTCTCAAATCAGTCCCTTTAGACTAGTTTTTCAAAGTCATTCATTCTAATTTGATTTTCCTAATGAAGAGAGTTTACTCTGATTTTCATTGTTCTTGCCAGCACTAAAAAAAAGTATATTCTCAAAACGTAGTTGCATAAATTTTCTAATTCAGACCAGGTTCAAAACAGACTGTGTTCTCTGCCATTTGCATTACTGATTGCACTTCATGTGCCAGTCGAGTCAAATTCTATAGACTTATTTTTCCCTGTGATGTTCTAGGAACTGTCTCCTGTCGTAGCGCCAGTTTTATATATTACTGACAATTATTTTTTTTGTGATTGTCTTTTTATTGCTTGCCCTCTGGGGACTACTCTGCAGGAGGTCCCTGACGACATGGGATCAAAAGGCCTGAGTAAGTGATCAAAATACTCCCAAGTTATTTTAACCTCCATCTGAAAAAAATTACTACTTTTTTTTTTTTTGACAGATCTCTTTGAGATTGGTGCTCTACTGGCATAAGGAGGTTGACTAGAACTGGTTCATAAGCTTTTCCTAGCTTGTCATCTTTTCGAGTTTTTGCTTTCAGGAGCATGTAAAGTTTATGTGACTGTCAAATTAGATTTTTTTTTGTTTTGTTTTCAGAAGCTTACCAGTGCTTTCTTGTTTGTCCTCAACAGTACTGTGTTTTTAATTTGGTGATTATTTTTTAATGTTACTTATATCTTGTCCTTGTATTTTTATTTATTTAAAAATAACGTTGTGGCTTTTTACAGTAATAGTACAACCATTGCCGTGCTACTTTAACTAGTAACAGTTTTCACTCCTCTCTCTAGGCAACTGATGTTTACAGCTACTTAAAGCAAACAAAACTTTTCCTTAACAAATGCCATGAGAGTTTTTCTGTCTGACTTGAACACTTATGATGCTTTTAGACCAGCTGGAGGGCTGGTAGGAGTAACTTGAAGCATTTATTGTATTTCTATTTGAATCTAATAAGATTCAAAGGTTGCTGCATACTCTTAGCAATCTGTTTGTGTGTACAGACCCCACCACAAAATGTATTAAAATGACAAATAAGAAAAGCCAAGACCTTGCTTTCACAGATATTAAATACAAACACTGTTAGGCACTTATGCAATAGGAAAAGTAATCTCTAAAGGGATGTGGCTAAGTGTCACTAAGCATAGCATTTCTTCCCAAGGCATAGCTGTAAGGCACAGTTTTTGTTAAATTACTTGTAAGGGTCAGTGTACTTCTGTCCCTGTCCTCAGTCGTGAAGTAGAAATTCTAGTAGTTGTAACATTGATTTTTCGTTTCTGAAATGGCTACTTTCAAAGGAATTCTTGGTCTAGACCAGAAGACTTTAGCAACCTATATGAACTTATGGTTTAGAACATAGGATCATAAGCTGCCTTTATGGCCTTATGATCATACCTAGTTTAAAGTTTATAACATGGTCCAGAAATATCTCTAGGTGATTCTGTTCTATAAACAATTGGTTTCTTGTCTGTTTTTCAGCACAGACTTTTTAAAACTGCCTTACAGCACCTGATGCAAGTTGTGTTACATGCTACACTGTATTTCCTCTAATATAACCCAGTATTTTCTCTACAAGAGACTAAATGTAATCAATAAAATGCCTCCATAAAAGTTGAAATGGATAATCCCAAGGTTTTTATACAACAAAATTCCTCCTGAAGTGAAAACTGAAAAATTGCAGGGTTACATGTGAATTATGAATTAGTGTACTTTTTGTAATCTTATTTTATGTGCTATTTAATGTTTTTCTTTTTATTAACATCAATTCCTTTCATATGAAATTAAGCTTGATCCTGAGAGCTATGAGAAGTACGTTAAAACTTTTATATGCAGTATGTATTGATTTCAGCACTTTGATATGAGTATTGTCTTTCATCTGGATTATTTTTTGTCGGTTTTCTTTCTGTTTGACTCATGCCATTGGTGTATGTTCCTTATTTTTTCCCATTGTGTTGCAATTTCAGAGCATGTAACCTCTAATGCCAGCGATAGTGAAAGTAGTTACCGTAAGTGTCTTTAAGTTCTTTGTTTATTCAGAACCTTTGTTTTGTAGCTCTTTCTTTGGTTTTGTTTGTCTGTCTTTTCTGGGTATTTACATGTTAAGTAGAACTTTCCAGACAGCTTCAGGTGAAATCTGTATTTGTGTATTTGGTGGAGTACTGCAAATTGTTCCATGTCTTTGTTTTTAAAGAACTCCATAGAATCACTGCAAACCTCCTTTATGGGTATTTTTATTGTTGTCTGTGATTTTTTTAGTTCAGCTTAATTTGAATCTACTCCTATTTTTTTTTTTTTTTAAATTACACAAGCTAGCTAGACCTGTTAAATTTAAATGTAAACTTAATGCTGACAAATATAATTGTATATAGCTGAGCTGGAACAATACTTAATACTGGAAGTGTAACCAAACTGTGTAATCTGTTAAATAATGCTGTAACTATCAAAAGCTTTTCACAACTGATACTCAGATTTAATATGTATATACTTCAATGAAAGTACAGATAAGCAAACATGTATTTACCCTTGCTTTCAGCTCATTTATTTTGTCAAGTGTGGGTGCTTAGTATGAACTGTCTTCAAAGCATACGACACGCTTTCAGTGCTGGAGTCAGTTTTGATAAATCAGCATGTTAGTTCTCTCTCTGAAGACAGTGTCTTCTGAATACCACACTCTGCATAAGCTCCAGTAGTGTTTCCTATTACCCCAGCTGCAGTAGCACTCCATGCTCTGGGTGGGTAATAGGCTGCATGGTGCTGCTCTACTCTGCTTCGACATGTCTTAAACCAGGGCAAGAACTTGAATCCCACTATTCATTTCCAGTGAACAGCTTCCCAATAAGGTTGCAGTCTAGATCTAGAAGCCATGATAGGCCAGAGCAGGACAATAGGAAAGTGGAGGGTTTGAAGATAAACATGAAAAGAAGGAGCAGTCAAAGTCATGCAGTGGTTTTCTGCTCAGCTCCTCACTGCCTGCCGTGTAACGGGCACTGCAGAAATATATAATTTATGTCAGGATAATAAGGAAGGTGGTTCATTAACAGATACATTTATTTGGCTGCAGATCTTTTCAGAAGTGATGAGCCACATATTTTCTTCCATATGATGACACTGAAGGAGAGAATGTATATACATGTATACAAAATGCTGGTGGTGTTGCAGACTGTAATTGAAAAGAAACCAATTGAGGGAGGCATCTGTATTCCCTGAGAATGACGCAGTATTGAGCACATATGGAAGTTGCCTTTGACAAACAGAAATTTTAATAATTTTTAATGACACACCATTAAAACTATCGAACCGTGTCTGTTTCCTCATAAATTTGCTGCTTCCCTCACTTCCAAGGTTTTTCTGAGAGCTTGCTTTACTTACATTTAAAGCTCGTTAGTGGTACAACTAGTTAGTTTTTTACTTTATTGATACTTGAGAAGCCATGATTTTATTATGAATGTCATGGATTTGTTTACCTCAATGTGCTATTCTGAGCAATTTTTATTAAAATATTCTTTTAATTTCTTCTTACCGCTGTCTAATATGAAAGTTATCTTGATTACAGATGAGTACGGTTGTTCAAAAGGTTCATTCTGTTACTACTAATTTCTCCAAAGTATTGAAAAGCAGTGACAATATATACTTTTTGCCCTCAGTCCAGGGGATGCTTTTTAGTTGTTCTTATTTCTTTAGTAGTTTGCATAACTACTCTTTGACCATATAGCAATGTGACTTCTCCAAAGCAGTATCCAATTCTATGTGAGCTGGGTCTTCCATAGATAAGTTGATAGTTGGTGATTCCCTGTTCCTCTCCCTAGCCTAAAAAGGGTTCTGAAAGTATATACTGTCCTTCTAAAATCCATTTGCATGAGTAACTTTTTGAGATATTAAAATGTACAGTTTGCATGGTTTTGTGTCTGTCTTAAGGTATTCCTCACTTGCAACAATTTAGGAAATTAAAGTCTTCCTTTGTGTATTGCTGCAGGACAGTTTGAATGCAAATCTATTGCAAAATAAGAGCAATATTTCTGTTAATGGAATGGTAACGTTTAGATTTAAAATATCAGTGGCATTTGCTTTGAAATAGAGAATAGATATATAGAAGCACTATATGCATTTATAAAAGCATTCATCTGCCTTCTGTTTCTACATAAACTATGGTGTAGCCTTGGAATGTTCCTTTGCCTGTTTTAAGTATGGCTTATGAACATCAAAGAATGTTCTACAATTAGACAAGTGAAATACTGGAGGACTGTATTTTCTTCAGTTCAAAGCAATGTCATGTAATTTGAGCTTGTGTCTTCAGAATTATAAATTCTCTGCTGTCACAGTTAATTTTTAGTTATTTCATTGAAAGAAATTTTACTCTTAGATATCATGTTAGACTAGAAGTAATCTTTTAGAGGGATGGCAACTGAGGTATATTTCAAATGCTTTCACTAACATTTAAAAAGCCTACAGCTGTCAAAATTCAAGATTCAGTTATTTTAGTTTCATTCACTGCTAATGTGCTTCCTGGAGCTGAGAGCAACCTGAAGGATTCTTTGCTTTCAACTTTGTCTTTAAAAAATAATTGATGAAATAACAGTTGTTTAGTATATACAGTTATAGCTTTTTTGGTAGAATTAGAGTGGCTGAAGATGTTTATATAAATACCAATTCACAATCAAGTTATTGGAAGATCTGTACACCTTGACATGCATGGTTGCCAGCCATGTCTAAATATGGAAAAAATGGCATTGTAAATGCTGGCTTCAGAGTATGGAGAACGTTCCCAAAGCGAGTGGCATTGCTCTAGCAGTGAATGACAGCATGCGTGCATTGCATCCAGGACACGTGGGGAACAGCACCTCAGCAATGCTTGAAAATTCTTCTTGTGCTTGATGTCAGCTTGACATGCCAGCGTACACCAGGGAGCTTATTTCTACTGTATGTGTCTTATGCTTTAAAGCTCAGTGTTTGGCTTAGCTTTGTGAGTTTTATAATTCATCGCTCTCGAAAGATGTCCCTCATCAGTATCATTGTAATGCATATTGCTGAGCAGTGTCTGTAACATCATAGTCCATGAATTACTCAGTTGAAATATGTCGCTTTGGGAAAAAAATACATTGATATGTCTTTGCCTTTACGTTTTAGGTGGCCAGGAGGAATATGTGTTGTCATACGAACCAGTCAATCAACAAGAAGGTTTGTAGATCTCGCTCAGTATAAAATAATCTGTTAAATTGTTAGAATGCTTCCCATGCCCCTATGTACTAAGCACCATGATAAACTTCTTTGCCCTTTTTAACTTGTAACTTACTGTCATTCAAATGAATAAATCATAAAGGCATAAATTATTAAATAAAAATCTCTAAATTATTTAGTGCAGAATCCAAAGGTGTGCTACTTCAATAATTTCTTGTGTGGCTTATATGGCAGAAAGAAAATACAGTATGCCTAACAGTTTTGTCAGTGAGAACCTCAAAAATTATAGTTTTCTTTTGTTTCATACTGCTATAGCATTCTCACTATTTCTGTCACAGCAAAAAGTGTGTGAATAGATCGTTTGTCTATTTACCAGCTTCAACTGAAATGTCTCTAAACAGACTTCCATTTCTGTATGGTTTTCTTATATGGCTAATTTGTTTAACAATTGCCAAGGGATTCTTTCTAGAAAAAAGTAAAATTTCAAAAAATGGGAATCAATAGGAGAAAATATTTTCTCATGCTTGCATTTAAAAAATTGCTTTTTACTTATTTTCAGTGGAATGGTTTTGTCTTTTCACCTTGATTGTGATTCACTGTGTGAATATAGACACAGAATTTTTAGTGTTCCAAATCACTAGCACAGGTGCTAACAGTTGATTTACATTACTTGATACATAGCTCACTTGTAAATTATTCTGATGAAAGCAATGTCCTTTGGGAGTACTTATCTGTTACCTATCAAATAGGGTGTCAGTCAAAGTAAATACACATCATGCATTAACAGTAATTTTGAGTGCCATGTCTGGTTTCTGCAGTGAGTGGCATGGCCCAGTTGTTTTTAATAGCACTGTGGCACATTCACCTGTATAGACTTTCCACTCTGACTTGATAATCATGGCATAAAGGCCCCAGTTTATGACGAATCTTCCAGAAGTAGTAAAAATTGTTATACAAGGCTAATAGAGACTGCATTATTTATATAATATAATTGGAAATATTAAGATATTAATAGACCCTACTAGTAACTGGGAATTGGTAGTCCCCTTTGATGTAAAGTACTTTGTGCCTTGTGGTGGATTTAGCACTGGCTAAATTCACCAGTGCACTTAATCATTTCTTGCTGTGAGATATGGATTAGGGAAACTGGAGTTATGTCACCCTCACAGGAACAGCTGCTAGTCTGTGTCTGCCCCCTCACCAAGGGGCTCACAAAGGGACAAACAGCAGAGATGTTTGTTACTTAATTAATAAGTTAATAGATATTGGATTCAAGACATTCCTCTTATGACCATAGTAATATGGTGAAAAGGAAGTAGCTCTGAATCAAATGAAAATATATTTAATAGGCCAGACTTTCATTAATTGGTACTTGCTTAAGCAGACAGATTGAACCTAAAATTAAAATTTGTACTGCTGAAGTTACATGATCATGACAACATACTTAGGCATTATTGTCTTAATGGTTCTTACAGTGTGATTAAAAATAATCTGCTTAAACCTAATTTTCAACAAAAACCCCTTTATTATAGATAATTAAACTACTTTTAAGAGGAATTACACTTAATTTTGTTAGGGTGTTAATATTTACAGAAACTATTTCTATTTGAGTTGTTTTGTATGTGAGTGCTTAATTGTGGTCTTAGAGGAAAAGGAGCTTGTCCCAACACAGACACAGAATTTTATGAACTGTGCTGCTGCTGCTGCTTAGGTGCCTCTCTGGATTGAAAAGATTTTCAAACCTCCCCTCTTTCCTTTTTCCATTAGAATTTAGGATGCTTGTGAAAAGGTTTATTTTTCCCAAAGGCTTCAAAATTTCAGACTCCTTTTCCATCTCTGAGAATGGTGATTTGGGAGTGAAGGTCTAACATCTTACTATGACTATGGTATTAACTGATTGATGTTCTTCAATATATTTTTATTCTCTTTAGCAGTACATATTATTTTAAGTATTAAAATCATTGCTATGATTTTATAGCTATTCTGATGAACTCTTAGAAGCTAACAATCATATGAGATATAACTGACATTATTCCTTTATGTTTATTAGTCAGTTACACTCGACCTGTGATTGTTTTGGGACCCATGAAAGACAGAATAAATGATGACCTGATTTCAGAATTTCCAGACAAATTTGGCTCATGTGTTCCACGTAAGTCTCAGCAAATACTATTAACAATGTTAGATTATATTTTTTTATTTTTTTTTTATAGCCATCCTCTGTTGGGTTAAAAGTTCATATATTGTTTAAACTTTATAGACCTATCTTAATATTGTCAATCTCTTTGTGAAAATTTTGCAATATAAATGGGAGACTTGGATATTGCAGGGAAAAAAGTCACTGTTTTTTGTTTTGCTTTAAAAACTATTGGTTTATATTTAAAGATACTACTAGACCAAAACGAGATTATGAGGTGGATGGACGTGATTACCATTTTGTCACTTCTCGAGAGCAAATGGAGAAGGATATTCAGGATCACAAATTCATTGAAGCTGGCCAGTACAATAATCATCTTTATGGAACAAGTGTCCAATCAGTGCGAGAAGTAGCAGAAAAGGTAAATCAGTGCCACTTACATTCATTTACTGAGCTGATTATATGCCTGTGCTGACAGAGAAAAAGAGAACAGCAAGAAGCCATTAGGAGCATTCTGACTTTTAAAGGAATTTGTATAAAACTAGAAAAAAAGTATATTGTCATAGATGCATTTAGAGCAATAATGAAGCTTTGGAATAATGAAAGCATCATGATTAAATTGTGGGAAATGAGCAACCATAATGTGTCCTCTAATTTAAAGAGAATATAGAATAATTGGAATTATAGGCTAATTAGCCTAGCTCACATACACAGATCATGAACTAATTAAGAGTAGTGCTGGTGGAGTTAATTAATATGATGATCCTTTTGACATAGACCTGTGCAGAAGAAAACTTGCAAAAATGTTACTCTTTGTGCGTCTCATGGTTTTAGCTAATGAAGGGAAGACAGTAAATGTAAAGAATTCCATTTTAAAAGTATTTTTTCCATAACTACCCATACATTTTGAAGATTGACCTTACTGTTTCTATCCCAAAGCAATTTGAATTAACTCTTTCTTGCAAATTCTAATTATTTCTAAAGTCTTACTGAAGTTGACTTGGTCTGTCAGGAAAAAAAAAGGTGGGAAAAAGAAAGTGTATTTCTGAGCGAGTAAGGTGTTTGTCTTAAAGAAAATCTTTCGGTGAAAATTTTTTGCAAATGTTCCATGTTGAATTGATAAGTGTTGTTCTGCTGCTTACAAATCCAGTGCATTTACAGTAGCCAATGTTATCTGATCTCTGTGAGAGAAGGACCAGCTGTTTTCTAGGTGGGAACTCACAAGTGGGGGCACTGTCAGTCTGGACATGCAGAGGGTAAGTGTGGCTAGTAATCCATGTGCCACAGGGCTGTAGTTTAGTCCTCTGGAAAACCCTGTAGACCATTTTGACCAAATGGGTGAGTATTGCTATTTCTGGCAACCGAATTTACTGGAAGCAAAACCAGGGCAAACACGGTGAGATTCTGTGGGTCAAGTTTTCTTCTCATGTCATTGCCACTATAGGGATGGAACCTGGCCCCATTGGATACAGTGAGAAAAGGGAAGGAAAGAACATTAATTACAGAATTGTTCAAGTAGATGAACAGTGCTTTGTATGGGAGGCTGAACAAAACTGTGAAACTATCATATGTGGTTAAATGATGAAATTATTGTACAGCTTAAACGTTATAAATCTATTAGCAGTTGCTTTACTTGGTAGCACAAATGCAATCCTTCAGTTCCATCCTGGACCTGAAATTGGCTCTGTCCATCTGTTTGGATCAGTAAGGTACAAAATTGCTATGAATCTTTCATAAATGGACATGAAGAACAAAGTATTACCAGATGTCTCCATGCAGTTAAATCTGTTGCACAGGCACCATGGGACTTTGGGTAGATGCAGCATTTTCTCAGTTGCAGCTAACATTATTTTTCTGGGAAACAATGGGCTATCCTTCAGAACTTTACTTCAAAATCATGACAAGGCTGCCAACTGGTTGATCTGGATTCTTGTGACCTTGTATTCTTTTCCATTTTGCTGAAAAGATGAGTCTTTTCAATGGGTTTTATTGCTGGGATGCAGAAGATGATTTCCACATTTTCTACAATCAGTTTAGGAGAAAACAGAACAGAAGTGACTGCTGTTACCCCAAAAGAACCAGAAACAGTGTTCTTAAAATAGCCTTCAGTTGTGTTCATTTGCCCATGCTTCCAGCTGATCCCCGTCTCTCTCATTTCCTTACCCACAATGGACACAGCTAAAGATGCTTTCTTGATGTTGTTGTTCAGTTACAGAAGGCACTGGCTGCTGTGCAGGGCTTCTCAATCAGATGCAGTGCAAGTACAGAACTAAAATATATAAAATAACTATTCTAAATGCACTGTGCAAAAAGCAAAATAGCTTCCCTGGATGAAAATATGTCACTATGTACTTGTGTTTCTTTTGCTTGTCTTTCAAGTCTTCACTTGAAAAGAATTTTCGTATCCTCCTTCCTTTGGAATCATCAGCAGTTTGCAAATCCCTGTGTCTCAAGGCCACAGTCTCTTAATGCACATCATGGTTGATTTGGAATAAACTGTCATGGTTATATCCCGTAAGGTCCAGCACAGGTACTGGCTGTACCTAGCCCTCCACCCTTTGGCTCCTGGCATAAGTTGTTGGGCCAAACACAGCAAATAATGTTGCATTTGAAAAATAGTAATGCTCTTAATTCTCAGTTTTTGTAGCATGTGCCACATTTAAAGATGCAGACAGATCAACACATGTAAAATTCTCTGCTCAGACATACAGACACCTTTTTTAAATCTTACCAGTTGGCATCCAGACCCATGGACTGGATCTGGAAAACAGCTATCATCAGACATATATGTTGTTCATGTGGGAAGAGCACTTACCTTTAAAAATACCTGAAATAAAATTCTGATTTTGTTGGCAAAGAGATAAAATGTAAATGATCTGAGTTACTTCTTCTGCCAGGAAGCAGAAGCATGTCAGTAATTTCAGACATTCCTTCAGGAATGATGTCCCAGGAGTTCAGGAATGGTGTTGTATGGTATCAGTAACCTTTGGTTATATGGTACTTATGGACTCAGGGATTTCTGCAATTCACATTGGTCTCTTGCTAAAGACAAAGCTTTTCTTAAAGTAGTCACCTGAGAATGGTTTTCTGTTCCTCTCCCCCTGTACCCTTCTAAAAGGACAGTATGCAAAATCAATCCTATGCTACTCAAAAAGGAAAGAAATAAAAATGTGTGAGGTGGAAATGAGCATATCTGAGATGAAAGGAGCTGAGAACAGGAGGAGCCTTTGAGATGAAGCTGAAAAATTCTTTATAGTGTGAGAATAGAGAGGGGGAGGAAAACAGCCTTACCACGCTGTCTTCCGGCTGCTTAGGGAACAGTCAAGTTATATTTGTTTCTCAAGAGATGAACGATAAAGCAACACAAATAAATTGCATTCACCATCTCCAGTGTGGTTTTTCTACTGGCTGGTACCTGGGGGAGGGAGAGGGCTTGACTGGAGTTCCACCTGAATATGGTGGCATATTTTCCTGCCAGGAGAGGTGGGCACAGCCTCAGGTATGCCAGTTAAGTCATCAGGCCCCTCTGTAAACTGCATCTGTGACATGGCCACGTTCCTAAAGCATCCTCAAATTAGTACCAAAACAAAGCAAAATAAAAAATGTTGGTGGTATGGCTGAAGGCCAGCTGTTCCACTACACAGTTCTGCATTGCTGCACAGGCTGCAACCTGTGATGAAGAAAGGAAGGAAGAAAGAAGGGTCAAGAAAATCTCAAATGATGTGTGATCCAGCAGAGGAAATTGGGGGTTTGTGCCAAAGTGCTGAAGTAACAGTATAATTGATGCAAATACTCTTGTTTTCTCTTCTAAATTATTATGCTATGCTACTTGTGCCTTAAACTTTGCTTAGTGCCGTTTTCCCTTCTCTCTCACTTTTTAGGGTAAACATTGCATTCTTGATGTTTCTGGTAATGCGATCAAAAGGTTGCAGATTGCCCAGCTGTACCCCATCTCCATTTTTATTAAACCCAAAACAGTGGAAAATATCATGTGAGTAAAAGTAAAGTACCTCAGGCTAAATTGTTTGAGACTTCTTGTATTTGAAAAACCTACCACAAGTTATATTATACAGGCAATTGTAATGTTTGCTTTTTAAACAATATTTAATTCCCTGAGTTTAATTTTTAGGGACTTTAAGATGGGGCTTCTAATCCAAATTAAAGTGCTTGAAAATGAATGTCATTGTGTTAAATTCCATCCAACATAATGCCAGAACAGCTCATTTCCACTAGTCTTTGTTTGGTGTCTTTAGGGCTTAACTCTTTTATTAGGATTAATACTCAACAGTTTAAAACTTTAAAGACTCCAAGTATTTGATAGAGGTTTAAAATATGTGTAATGTTTTCACTTTCAGGGAAATGAATAAACGCTTAACAGAAGAGCAAGCCAGGAAGACATTTGAGAGAGCCATGAAACTGGAGCAAGAATTTACTGAACACTTCACAGGTGTGTTTTGCTTATGACTGCTCACTTGCTAGAGTTGAAATTTTATTGCTTTCTGTAAAAATAGTACTTGCCTAACCACTGAGATAGTGAGCTTTGTTTTTCAGATGATCTATGATTACTTTGAGGTATAGAGCCATCTTAGTATTTCTACACTGATTTAACTTTGATCAATTAATTTAATATTAAAAATATACAAAAATTTACTGTTAATTTACCTTAATTTAGGTTTTAAAAATTCTAAGATTTTGTACCATTTTCCTTGGTATTGAAATGCAGATGTTTGCTTTGTTGGTGTCTTGTACATTTACATTATTTGCAGACTGGAAATTGCTCAGCAAAGCTGCTTGTAGGAAATTGCTAATTACCTTTTTTTTTTTTTAATTGGGCAAATGATCAAGCATAATGGTAAATGAGGCCTCTGAAAATTGAACATATACATTACTTAGGGAATCAAATATGTGCATGCCATGGGCCTCACTGTAACAGCAAGGGATGGGCTGCACTCAAATTGTGCTCGTTCTTTGTGTTGTGGCTTCTAACATGGGGAGGTTGAAGTCATGACCTTCAGGAACTTGGAATTGAACCCACCTTACTCCTAACCTGACAGACAATTGCTCCTTTCCCTTTTGCGGTGTTTCTGTGTTTGCTGCCCCATTCACTTTTTTTCTGTGACATGCCTTTTGCCCAGTTCTTCTCCCATATTTATGAGGGTAGAGCTGTGGATGCAGCCGTCTGTTCCAGCTGGGCAGAGGCAGAGGATGGCAAGGTGCCTTCATAGAGGAGGAAGATAGAGGAACCAGTAAATTCCCTGCCCAGTCTTCCTGCTGCCTTGTTCCCTGCATTTTGTGCTGCACAGTTTTCAGTTTATCCCAAGACTGTACCTTACTCTTCCTATAGCTCTCTATCTTGTCTGCACCCAGGAAGTCATGGGACAGTCAACATGCCTTGAAAATTCCTCCTATTATAAATCCTTTACCAAAAGGCTTACAAATGTGTTCAGTTTATTGTTCAGAAAATGAATGAGTTTATTTTAATCATTATCAATTATTAGTTAGTAGCTGGTATTCCCGCAGGCTGTCTCAGGGCATTATATATAGGACGTTTTTCCAAGAAATTAAGGGACATAAATTATGATGTTTCAAAAACCTAAAAGACTTTGTGAGTGCTCAAGTGTTTAGGTCCATGATTTTTTTCCAGAGTATAAGGCTTGTTGACAAAGGAAAATGGTCAGACTTCTCTCCTTGATAATCTTGTTCAAGCCAGAAATTCTTTTCTGAATCTGTTTAAGATACTTGAAGCCATTACAGATCCCAGTTACAGTTTGGAGGCTGCCATCCATGTGAGTTAGGTGGTAAAACAGAAAGTGTGAGTGCTCCCTAATCTGCTGGAAAATACCACATCATGTGTGGTAACTGAAACCAACTTCATCAGCAGGTTCTGCTTCCACAGACTTAAACTTTACACTGAAGCACATGAAAAGCACAACCTTCTTCAGCTTTGAGGTTACTGAGGTTTGGAAGAGGTGTGGTTTAACTTAGCTGGAGAGAAGATGCTGAAGCTCATGGCCTATTTGCCTTGCAAAGACATTTCTAATTCTTTCTAATGCACTTTTGTGCTGTGAACATTATACTTGGCCTATAACAATGGAGCAGCCTCCTTCCACAGACAGTGCAGCTTTGGGCTGCAGATGGGGAGAAGGGTTTTAAGAGATAAGAATAGAATGGTAGGAATAAAAGGGAACTAATTTGCATAAAAGCCAAGCCCAGAAGTAGCAGTACTCTATTAATGCACAGAAGAGTGAGTCTGACCTGCCTCCAAAACTGTCCTTCATGCTAGATTTTACTTCTTGGATTGTTGACACTGAGATTGTGACACTAATTAAAAAGAAGTTGCTGTCTCAATGATTGCTCTTCCAGGCTGAAGTGTTGGTAAGAACAGCTCAAACTTCATCTTCATTTTCACCAGACCATACTTTATTCTGATATGTCGGAACACATCCATTTTGGCTCATTTCTAATTAATTTCTAGCCTTGGCAAAAATGCATCAGCTAACACGATAGGAAAGAGTATCAATTGCACTTTTAACTGTATAAGGAAGCCTCTTGTCTATAAAACTTGAATCTGTTGTCTGGACAAAAACTCCATGAGTTTTTAGCCAAAAGCAAAGGTAGAGCTAGGTAACCTGTCAAGGTCAGCCAGCCTTGCTGTGCAGCTTCAGGATCAAGCTGAGGAGTTCACCAGCCTGTGAGGACACAGCCCTGCAAAACATTGTCTTGCTTTGTGCTGGAAACACGAATGAAAGCTGGGCCAAAAAGAGTACTGGAGGATGTGAATTGACTCTGGCATATTGGAACATGTGGCTAGGAAAAGGTTAAAAAACTCATCAGTTGTATGTAAATACTTGGTAGGACAGTGGAAGCCACTTCCTGTTCCCAAGGAAGTGCTTTGTGTGTCCTGGAGTACCAGCACAGAAACCAGGGATGTACACAGGTGTCTTCCTTCAGCAATCACAAATCCTCCTGCCACTCTGAGGGGAAGGAGCAGCTTGGTGTGGAGCAGCCTGGTTTCTGCATGGAATGAGGAGGGATGATTGCTGATTGCCACATTTTGTTTTGCAGCTATTGTCCAGGGAGACACTCTGGAAGAAATCTACAACCAAGTGAAACAGATCATAGAGGAACAGTCTGGTCCTTACATCTGGGTTCCAGCAAAGGAAAAATTATGAAAACAGATTTTTATTTTTCATTTTCTAACTGACATCACCTACGACATCTGACGACTCTTAAGCCCTTCCAGTGGAGCCTGCCTCTAGTTCTTTCCAGCGTGGTTCATACCCTAACCATCACATTCTGCAGTTCCCATAATGCTTTACACTTGATGTCTCTCTTAGTTTAAATAATTTGTATTATTGTGTGTTGTTGGTTTGCCATTTTTCAACCATAACAGTGGAATGGCCTGACCAGCTATTAGTTTAGGGTGGGGGTGGGAGGGAATTGCTTGGTAAAAATTCCTTAATGTTTAAGGGAAAGTAACTTTCAAAGATTTTTCAAAAAAAAGCTTTATAGACATTCTTTTAAAATTTCATAACAATTGAAAGAAAAGTTGTATTCAAGGAAGTTGTAAATTATGAGTAACTTTGCACGCTTAACTTTAATAGCATGGTTTGGTCAGGGCAATCAATTTCAGGTTTTATTTTCTGAGTTCAGTCCTATTGTCACGGTATCTTTTTTTCTTTCCAGGCAGTTAGAAAGAAACTTTCCAATTTTGAGTTAGCATTTTCATTAAGTCCCATTACTACTCCTAAAGGGATACTCATTTTCATAATTTCATACGGATATTCTTATAATCTATTTTTTCATTTTTTGCCAATAAAATTGCTAGGGACAAAGATGTGTAATGTTTTTAATCTTCCTTATGAAACACTATTTATAGTGTGTTACAGAAATTCTTTATAGATAATGGTCATCACACTTTTTGAGCCTAAAAATATGTTTAGGTGCTAGGAAACCTTGTATTTTTCAGAGGAATGCCAAATTTCCATTGGCAGTGATTCAGAAAACAGCTGCAGAGATGGTCATTAGGGCAGTGAGAGAATGATTCATAGCCTAAAAATGTGTGTGTTCTTAGGGGTCAGATTTTAATGAATATTTTACCCACAATAACTGCCTATTTTGTTATAATAAATATATATATATTAAACTTTCTTTAACTAAACTCTGTAACTATGGGAATTATTTTCTTTACATAGTTGCGCACACGTATAAATATATATATAAAAAATATATATTTTTCTTTTACCACCTACTCCTAGCTTTTTGTTTTGAATAAAAATAAAAAACCAAATTAGAATTTACCTTCCTTAATCATGGAAAAATCAAATGGGCTGTGATGGCTGGGCATGAAGTCCAGGGAATATTAGTACAAGAAAAAAAATACATGCAGGTTCTCCTCTTTTCTACGCAATTCTGGGTGTTTGTCTTTCCCTGTCCCCTTTGTAATATGCATGTCTTAACCAAAGGGAGAATTCGGAGTCAACAATATATTTTTTTTTCTGTATGTGTTTGTCTTGGATTGCACAGGCACAAGATCTTCCATTTGCAATGCACAAACTTCTGTGCTGAATGTTATGAATACGTTGTACCAAAATCTTCAATAACGAAATTCTCTAATTCCCATATTATTTGGTACCTGCCATTGCTTGTTTGCAGCTGATTGTTTTTGAGAGGGATGTACTTATAGCAGTCATGGGGCAGTCACACAGCCAAATCAGCTTTGGTTTGTAAAGAATTATCAACACAATTATCCATTCCATTTGTTAGAAAGAGGAGAACAGCTAATAAACTTTATTGTACAATATATTTGTCAAGTGTGTTTTTAATTATGATAAATACAGGTGTTGTAGCACTTTAAAATAATTGACTGAGACTGTAAATGAAAATCAGGTGTTAGAGAAACACTGGTGGCCACACTGGGGCTACTGAAGTTACTGCATTAAAAGCAGGGTTAAACTTGTGACACAATTATTGCTGTTGTTACATGGGACGTTAATGCCACTTAGAGGAATTTAAGGCTGCTAGTGCATGCCTCAAAAGAGTTTCTGGTTTTCAAGATCTGGGAAATCAGGTGTGCTGCCTTTCTGAGAATTCCTGCCCTTGAAAGTGCATGGTGTACTAGATTGATGCAGCTTTTGATAAATAATGTCATAAATTTTTAAGGCAGCTAGAAGTATACTGTTTTCTCCCTCTTTGAAAGGGACTGTTTGAGGTGTCTTGTGAAACATCTTAAAAGAGCAACTCTAAAAAAAATAGAAGGATATGAATTTCTGACAGATCTGCAAACACATCTGAGATCTCTGTATTGTATACACTTCTTTCTACCTCTTTTTTTAACTTGTCAGAAAGAGCCCTGTTCAGCTGAGTAGGTCTGTGAGGAATTGCTCTTTCATATGTTGGAGTGTCTGAGTAGCTGTCACTGAACTTTGCCCCCAGGCACTTGTTGTACAGTAGCCAGGTATCACCAAACACTCCACTCACACTGAAGCCCACAGCAGTTACCTTGCACAGTTGTCATGCAGGAGTGAAAACAAGTCAAGACCAAGAAAACCCAAAGGACTCTGGAGTATTTGCTTTGCATTTTTAATTTTGTTTGTTTCCTGTGTTACCTTTGAGCACTAGCAGAAAAGTTGATTCTGAGAGCCCTGATGCTCCTTGTTGTCTTATTTTGTGTAATTGGCAGGGTTTTACATTACTTAGTGTTTCTCTGGGTCTCATTTTTCCAGCATCAGGTGCTGATATATCTTTGATTCTTGGGTACACTTTTCTGTATTTTAGAGTTATGTTTTACTATACATGTACTTTGCTAAAGACTTCTAATTTAACAACTAGAGTAATTAGGAACTCCAAATGGCATCATACTGATGCATTACCACTCTTTTGCTGGCCCAATGTGAAGGCATTGTAGGTTTCTTCTTGCCTAAAAACCCAACTATTTGTAATTGCTATACAGACATATGCTTTATAAAGTACTTGTTACCCTCTATTATTATAGTAAGTTATATTATTTCCTTGTTGGCATTTTTGCTAAATTGTGCTGAAAACTAGGTTAAGAAATTTAATATTTCCTTAAAGCACAGACACTCACAGAGATAAGAATGAAATAGAAAAATTATCTAAATTCTCACAAACTCTGCTTGTGTGTTGTGTGATTGTTTAGAGGGTGTTGTGTTTGGAATAGACCTCCTGTACCAAAAGGCTGCTCCTCTGCCTTCTGAACCATTCCCACTGAGGATCAGAAGAACCACAGGAGAGCCCTGGCACCAGATTTGTGTCTTACTATCAGTCTGAAGCAACTGGTGCTAGGACTGTCAGTCTTGTCATCTGTGTATGAATGTAAGCCCTTCTGCAAACATGAGGGAGAGAGGGCTTCAGATTCTAATCTAGCCAGTAGGAGGGGCACAGGAAGGATCTTAGCAGTGGGTCCTTGAAAACACTTGGAAATACTCCAGTGATGCCAGGTTATTCTTTAACACTTAAGACAACAAAGGGGCAATTAATTCCAATGGTTTAGGGAGCCAAGAATCAGAGTTCAGCCATAAGGTTTTGTTTGGGAAGAAGATCTGGAGGGATCATTCCCTATTTTCTGTAATTCTAAACCTGAAATAGCAATTAATTGACTCAGCTGTTGTCTTACAGGTACTGGTCAGGGTTAGAGCTAGCATCCTGCCAAATGGCAGTCAGGCAGCTGATGAGTGCTGGAGGCATCCTGCCGCACTCCCGGCCCTACAGGCTCTTGGGGGATGCACAGTGCTGTGTGGCTCATGCTCTCTGGGTGTGAGGACTCACACAACACAGCCCTTCTGTTTCTGAGCAGGACTCAATGGCTTTTATCTAAACTAAGTGTTACAGGCAGCTGCAGTTCATTGACTAATAAGAAATGAATAAAAGTCCAGCACAAATGAGGGTTGCTCTGTGAAAGTTACACTAAAATTCACAGCAGCTTTTAACAGAGCTCCTGTCAGCAGTTTTGATTCTTTCTGGGAGAGAATCCTTCCTGGGCCTTCTTTTAAACCTTAAAATAAGTCAGAATGATATAGCTCTTTTATAGCAATTGCTATTAAATTTCAGGAAACATGCACTTAGCATGTGCTGTACCACCTGTAGAGTGTACAGACTTTACTGTTGGAAGAGCCTGGGCTTCTGATGATGGCTTTATGCAATTTGTGACAATGCTGAGAATGTGGCATCAAGTGACTGTCTACTCTGCCAGATAAACTGCTTACCTTGAATCTCCTTCTGCTTCCTGAGCCCCATATGGGGAATACATAGATCTGAGAGTGAGGATGTGGTTCCACAGCCCTGCCCCACCCCTGTGTGCCCGTGTGTAGCAGTTTATTGAATGAGTCTGTGGGTGGTGCCAAGGCAGTAGCGACTTCATTGGTGCCTCAGATATTTTGCAATTTCCAGGTCTGATGTTTTTTTCCAAGTGTAGAGGCAGAGTGAAGAGAGACATATTTTCTTTTGCAGTAGTCATTATGAGGTGGTGTGTGCCGAGGTAAGCAGGGTAGATTGTTGAAAAAAGCTCCTCGGCAATCGAATGCAACTGATTTTCACCTAAGACCAGGCTGGAGAGAGCACTCTTGCAGGGGCCTTGATCTCTGGGAGTTTTGAAGGCTGAAAAAAATCACAGATTCCAACATTTTCACCATGAAGAGCTCCAGAAATGTTTTCTGCCTTCTCTTCTTTCATGCTGGTAAGTGTCCTCCAAAAACTTTTGCTGTGGCATGGGAACTCTGTGTAATGTGAGAGAGCAGAAGGAAACGAGAGCTGCTTCAGAGCTCATATTGCAGGAAAATAAACAGAAGGAAGTAATAGAAAAGCAGTAGAAAAGGCTGTTTTGAACACCATGTACGTATCTTAACTCATTGGTGTCAAATGTTGTATTTCCTCAGTACTGAATCAATTTCAGGTTCAGTTGTGTCTGTTTTTCACAACAATGAAGTTATATAACTTAATTTGTAAAAATAGAAATAATTGCTTTATTTCATTTCTCATACTCTATGCAACATGTTGGCTTTCTCCTGTCACTCCCAAATTGTACTGGTGAGTGCTTTTAATTTCACCAGAGGTGTAGGTGCTGTTTCTGAAGCACTCTTCAGTTCTTCAGAAAATAAATGGTCCTAGTTAATTATTTTTTTCCCCTATTTTTTTCTGATGAAAGTCCTTGATACTATAGTAGTAACTGTATAAATAGCCATTTAATGTTACACAATGTGGTACCATTACTTTAAGGAGTTATTGGGATGTTAGTGATAGTTTAGGGTGTTAGGACTCTGAGCATATTTCAAATGGAAGTTGCCAGCTTCTGCCATTTCAAGCTTTATATATATATATCTACTGATATAAAGAAGGGCCAAAATTGAGAGTAACCTTGGGTTCAGACGCTAACCTGATGTTTTAAGCTGTTTTTCCCTGGCAGTAGGGAGAGAAGCTAACTGCAGTCCTTGCCTGTGCTCAGGCCCATTTCAGATGGGCTAACTTGTAAGTAAGGAGCCAGGATATTGCCCAGATCTAACTTTCCTCTAACAACAAAATTCAGCAATTTGGAAAGGGACCAATAAAGACTTGGTTTTGATGAGTGAGGAAAAATCCAACAGATTCATGCTGTTTCACTATTTTGGCTGAAATACAGAGCTAAATTAACTTTATATTTCAGATGTACAGCTAATGATTTTTTCGTGCAGTTCATGCTTTACCCCCTGTATGTCTATATCTAAAATCAGAATGCTGAAGCTGAAAAATGGTACTTGCCATACATACACACTGAGATGCTGACTCCCAAGTTTAATTTCTACTTGCTTATGTTTATAAAAGGGTAAACCCTAAAACGAAAAACGAGATTTTTCTTCCAGTCCTAAGGAATTAATGGCGAAAATTTCAGCCTGACAGATGCAGTAGTACAAACATTAAGTTTCTGTGAGGTGCATTTTTGCCGTCACCTGTTGTGCCTTTCTCCCAACCCTCATGGTTCTTAGAATTCCTGCAACTCAGAGGTGGGCAGTTGTTTCTCCCTCTACTGGCATATGCTGCCATGAAAGCTTCCTGTATGCTTTCCAAGTCTGACTTAATATTTGTTGACAGCACTAGAGTTGGCTCTGTGTCGCAGAGGAGCAGCAGGCCAAACCCGCTGTTTCAATATTGGATCTTTTGGCATCAACAGGCTTGTTTAGTCTGCAGCCACTAAGTCAGAAGATGTGCACGGAGCACTATCGGGCACCAGCAGAGTCATTTTTAACTTGCACAGTAACATGCGGCATCTCAGCTGT